TGGTTCATTTTGTTTAACGGGTGTTAGGCATCGTATTGTTATTGCATGTAGCTAAAGTGATACATATTTTACTATAATTTTAAGTTAACAGCATTAAAAAGCAGTAATGTATTCATACTGTTAATAAAAAAGGACAAAAAGACTTTTCAGCATAAAAAGTATTATTAAGAGAAACTACAATAATACAGGAATATTTTCTTGTTCACCAAACGAAAAATCCAAATATAAATAAAGATTTCTCATATTCAAAGACTCAGTGGGATCTGACAGAGGCATCTGTGAAAATGTCATGAAGAGTACATGTGAACATTAGATGAGATATACACAATTAGCTTCATTTCAGCATAACTGAGAAAGAGATTTTCCAGTACAACCAATTTGGCAACATTTGTCAAATAGTGACATAGAGGAATCTCTCTTTTTTCGGGAGTGAGTATCCAAGCCTAAGTATTTTAATGCTGAAGGACTATCATCATCTGCTTCACTTTCTCTATTATGAATAATTTTCTTAAATTCTTCAAAGCCAATGTTCGAATCCTTTAATGTAGGTAGATGTTGTAGTTCTGGTAATGATGGCTGCCTCTCAGAAGGTGTCATCTTCCTCTCCTGTGGCAAATTAGCAATGAATTCTGACATCATATTTACAGTTTCTGCATCATCGTGGATGAAGAATGGCACTATTTCTGTTAAGTTAAAAAAAAAGATGTGAGAGAAACATTCACGTCAAGGAGCATTCAGAAAAACTATAAGTGTTTGCAGAGTCAAAAAGGAAAGCATTTTCCCAATATAATTAAACATTGAAACAAAATCAGCAAGCATCTTAATATCTAAACAACTTAGCTTACTTACAGTTGGACAGCTTAAGGTACTGCAATATTATCAAGGTTCTGCTTTACTCCATTAGCCCCTCATCATCTCTCTTCTTGATCCCCTTATTGCTTTTACTATAGTCCTTTTGACTTTCCCTGACATTAATGCCTCGTCTTTCTGAAGTCATGTTGGTCACTGAAACATTCGGTTTGACCACGGATGAATTTTCTTACCTGACAAATTTTCTTCCATTGCTAAGCAACTTCTCAGTTATGATAGTAACCCCCCAAAATGATATTAATTATTTTAAGCTATCAAATGTTTCATAGTGGCAGGTTACTGCTTCAGGATAAAGTTAAAAAAGCAGAATTTCCAACAGCCCTGATCTAATCAGCAGGAAATACAGGTCTCTGACATCCTTCAAACATCTATTTAAAAATTTCTCTTCCCTGGAGTATTTTCTTCAAATCAATAGTACTTTTTTTAAAGAGAGAAATGAGCTAAAAGAACACTAACAAAACATCACTAACTTTAAGAAGAAGATTAGTATGTGCCGTGGTGTGTATGTATTGACTCATGTACTCTGTATGTCGTTTGTTCCAATGCTGTGGATCACACATTATGCAAGAGCTGTGTGTCCCCCAGAAAGGGAACCTGTTCTTACACACAGCAAGCCAGGCTGGTCAAATGTGGAGGCTGGAACTTGGGCTGGGAACCTGCTGGAGCCAGCTGTCGTTTTCCTT